TTACCCTCGGGAATGAGCCTGTTAGAATTACTGGACAATTTGGTTCTGTCAATAAGAAGTAACTTCATGGAATAATATGTAGCTATCAGTGGCTGTTAGTCATGAGGGCCATTTTTTTCAGTTTTTGTTCCTTCATACCAGTTTTGACTCCTCGGCAAGATCCTGCAGTTTCCTTGGTAATATTTTCAGAAGTGATTTGCTCTAGCTTTGTTCTTCCTAGGGCTGAGCACGAATAACTGGCCACTTGGTTGGCTTCACGTCTAAGGCGGTATCAGAACTCAGGGGGTCCTGGTGTCTGGCCTTATTTGTTTTCTTTCTTTAAGGTTTTTAAAATGTTTTTATAATTAATACTGATAAAAGATAGGTAAAGGAGGCCCTGTGGATTTTACTTCACTAGTTGTTGCCGACTATAGGGGGCAGCGCTCATCTCCGTTTCAAGGCCATTGAGCCAGCCCAGTCTGAAGACATTTCCACAGTCATGTGACCAGGGTGACGTCATGGAGCACTGTTACCGTCTCACCAAAGTGGTACTTATTTATCTATTCACATTTGCATTCTTTTGAACTGCTAGTTTGGCAGGAGTTGAGGCGAGGACAGGAGCTCATTCCATTGTGTGGCGCTTGGGTCTCGAATCCGGGCTACTAGCTTTCCAACCGACAAGCCCAGCATCTTAATTGCTGAGGCCCCACGCTTTTTATTAATACTGATTATTGATTATTAATAATACATTAATACTAATATGTGGTTTTATATTTGCATTCACTGTTTTAGCCTTCTTATATGCCAAGAAAGTTGAGTCAGTTTCGTGAGTTGGGCAGTCATATAAATTTTGTCAAAAATTTAATCATATTATAGACCAGTGGTTCTCAACCTTTTTAATGCCGCAACCCCCAACCGGTCGTAAGTCGAGAACTACTCAACTGGTGCAGCACCGTTTGCAGAATGGGACTTTTGGCGGGCTCAGCAGGGCAGAGACAGCCTGGACAATTCCTATTGGCTTTTGAAAGCCAATAGAATTAGACTCTATTCAAGAGAGTCTATTCAATTGGCTTTCAAAAGCCAATAGAATAAAAGAGAGTAGCACAGCTAAGGAAAAGGGGGAAAAAATGGCGGACTGCGTTGTTTGGCGATCCCCGTGAAATGGTCGTTCGACCCCAAATGGGGTCCCGACCCACAGGTTGAGAACCACTGTTATAGACTGAGTGACTGACTGACTACCAAACTAGTTCTCAGAGCCAATTATTGCCTTTCTGACCAAAGATCATTATATCATTATCAGTGTCTGGATAATGGTGTCTGACAGTGCCACAGTGCATGGCAAGCAAGTGCTGATATAGTAGTACAAATAAAATACGCTGGGTTTGTTTCTAGCACATTTGTCAACTTTTTGTCAAAACAAATCTTGAGCACTCCTGTGGGCATTTGGTTGGTCAGAATAGGAGTAGAACAAAGTAAGTTTTTGATGTGATCTAGCACATCTCCTTGTGAATTGCATGTGAATGCCCATCACTGAACAAGGAACGGTCTCGGGCTTCATTCTGTTTGTGTCATAATCAGTGCTTTTTTCCTAAAAAAAAAAAAAAAAAAAAAGGTGCCAGAACTCACACACATTATACAACCCTATAAGGTTCCATCCAAAAAAGGTGCCAGGACTCTGTTCTGGGCATTCTATGAGAAAAAAAGCCCTGGTCATAGTCATAGTCAACCATTCAGTTATGTCTGATCCTCAGCCACTCTATGGATCAGCACTGTCCATGTCCCTCTGTCTAACACCATCTCCTTCAAATCCGCCATGCTTATCCCGGTTCATCCTTTAATAGTATCCACCCAATAGGCAAACAGTAGGTCTGATTGCAAAGTAATAGAATTCTCATTGGAATTGGAAATGGCTAATTTGACTGCAGTATTATACAATAAAAGTTTTATCTAGTTTGTCTTCCTCTCAGTACAGGAACAATGCAACTATAGTTATTGTATGCAGTATCTGAAATAAATAGTTATCTGAAATAAAGAGAATATTGTTTATCAGAAATGCACTGCCGTACTTTGGAGGGCCTTGCTTATTATAAAGGGCCTCAACGTGCTTTTCAAGGGACACCAGTGCTAACAGATACTTTCCTTAGCTCTTGCCGGATGTTCTAGTCTACCAAGTTCTTCCATTAAAAGTATTTTAATTCAGAGAAATGGAAGTAGCAATGATGCCAGCTTTTGCAGCTTCTCAACTTTCTTAGAATGCAAAATGCAAGCAGTTTAGAAGTGGGCCATCTGCCCAGAAAAAGAAGCAGGAATATGAAGGGGTATCCTGCAAAAATGAAAGCTACTGTTGATGGTGGCAGATAAATCTCTTTGCATTCTGGCTGTACAGTGTTTTTGAAAATGGACAAGTCCTACCCCCCCCCACATACTATGCCCCCCCATAGTTGAAAGGGAATTGGTTAACTAACAAGTACAGAACTGAGAACTGGTTCATACTTGGCATTAAGCCAAAATGGGGCTACCTCATTGTGATGTGTGTCTTATGGTCAGGAACTAAATAATGGCTTGTTTTAAGGCTATGTTTTACAGTTTGAAATTGTGATATATGTGAGTGGAGAAGTATTTCTGTTATCGCTTCCTGACTACTGATTTTTTTTAAGGTCTCTTCCAAGTCTGTAGAGGAATCAAAGAATTGCTAGACGCCGGGTTATGATTACTTTGTTCCTCCTCGAGAGTAACTTGTTTCTGAATTGTTCATCAATCATGGTTAAGAAAAGCATGACTTAGCATGGTATATAAATGTGTGGACTATGTGTTTGTGAAGAGTACTGATCTTCAGAATTGTAATTCTGCCTCCATAATATGAGATGCTGTGTTCCAGTAAAATATCCATAATAATAAATAAAGATTGAACCACGGTGCAATAGCTTTTTCCTGTGGGGTTGTATGTATATTTGTTTCATGATTTTAGTCTCATATAATGATTTCCTACTTTTCTGGGGCTCCCCCCAAGGGTATTTATTGCCTGGAATCGTCACTTCCATCACTATTTTTGTCTTCGATCTTCTGGTTTGATTGAGGCTCAGTTTTCTGTTTTGCTCTATTCTAACAAAGAACAGTAAAATATTTTTTTTCCTTTTGTCCTCTGAGGATTAAAGACATGTTTGACTTTTTTTTACTGTATATAATAACACAAAAAGACTTGTATCTTGTATAAATGGCTCAAAGTCTTCTGCAGCAGATAAATATTTTCAGGAGAAAATATCTGAAGAGGAGGAAAATGTGAGACATTGCAGCCCTGCACACCATTGCCTTAAAATTAGCCATACTGAGCATGTGTGAACTGAGTTGTGTCAACCTGTGTACAGTTGCATTTTAAATGCACATATCTAAACAAAATGAACAGCATTATGTAAACATTTTAGAGAAATGTTTTAAAATTTAAAAGATAATTGGAAAAGCATGCATTTGTTCTATTATTTGGTGTTAGGGAAAAAAGGAAATATGAGAATTATTAACGCAATAACTTTAGGAGAATATACAGGAACTGTATATTCATTATAAAAGTATCATTCATAGAAGTAACAAACCTGAAAAAAATATCATATTTGTTTTTATTGTTCAGAATATTGCACACATTTTTTTCCCCAGAGAACAATTGACTACCCCAGCTTACTGGCTTTGCTTGTCTCAGCTATTTGCTGACAGAAAATTTTTTAAGAGTCACCTTGATTTTATTTTTAATCTTTGTACATTCATTGAAAATAGAAGAACCACCTCCATCCCATCCGTGAGGGAAGCAAAAGATACCAGGCCTCCTACAGAAGTTGCTTGGAGTATTTGGTCTGGTCTAAGAATCCTTCCTCAATCCACTGTATTTTTATAATTCCCATCACTGACTGTTGAGGGAGGTCTTTTGACCAAGTTGTCATTGCTGTTGTTCATTGTCTTCTGTTCTTGCAGAGATATAATTGGTAGAAGAACAAATCAACATTTAGATTATCTCCATGTTACCGCCCATACTTTAGATCAGTGGTGGCGAACCTATGGCATGTGTGCCAGAGGCGGCACTCAGAGCCCTCTCTGTGATGTCGTCCCAGCCCCACCTTCCCCCGTGGCCCCCTACTCACCAGCAGACTGAGTCGCCCCCAAGCACAGCCCACTCAGATGGAGCCGGGCAGCTGGGACAAGACTCCAGCCTCACACTCCATTGCGCACAGATGATGCTGCTGGGTGTGGGTGGAGGGCATGGCCGCCATGGCACTGCTGGGCCACCTGGGCAATCTGCGGTGAGTCGTGGAGGCGGTGAGTGGCCCTGCGGGCAGGCGGGGCAGGGCAGAGCAGGCTGGGGATGGGGGCAGAGTGGGCGGGATGGGGCGGGGGTGGTTTTGGGGCACTCGGTCTCTAAAAGGTTCACCATCACTGCTTTAGATAGTTGAATGGTGCTTCCAGGATACCTTTGGTGAAGAGAGTAATGTGGGGAGAAAGAGAATTTAACAGAATAACAAAGTTGGAAGGGATCTTAGAAGTCTTCTAGCAGTCTTCCTGCTCACACAGGAAACCCGATACCATTTCAGGCAAACGCATATTCTCTTCTTAAAGACCTCCAGTGTTGGGGGTTTGAGAGAAGATCTGTTAGGCAAATGTTGAATTATCCTTTGTTTGTATATTTTGAACTCTTTCACGGGTTTTGGCACTAGGGAAATGCATATATTTGCTCAGCTGTTGTTTTAAAGGTTTTCTTATGTGGCCCTTGAAACTTTAGTGAGAGTTGATCACTGATTTTTGGTGACACAAAGTGAAAAGTGAATTGGGGGGGAGGAGAGAAAGGAAACAATCTTTACTATTATATTGATAGAAATTAAAAAGCCTTTAATCTGTCCCCAATTCTGAGGGTAGACTTGGAGATGTTTGATTCACTACCATTAACTAACAGGTTCCATCTCCTTTTCTTCTAAAATTTGTGAAAACATGTCCCTTATAAAGCATTTTCACACTTTTTATTTGTAATTTCTCTTTTCCAGATAGATGATATACGGCTTCTGCAAATCAAATATAATCCAGTTGCCTTGTTTCAGCAGCTACAATGAATCAGGTTGGATTCAAAATTACTAACAAATATTATATGGGTTTGTCTTTTGATTCAATGCTTATTATTTATTCAGGAAGAGTTTTCTTTAAAAAAAATTGCACAGTTTGCTTTATTTTCAATGTCCAAGGTGTTAGTTGTGATAGCAGGGGAACATCCCTTCCCACTAAGAGCCAGTTTAGCAAAGACCGAATACATTCAGTAGCTATGAAAATAATTAAATACTAACTGATGTGACAATGGAGGAATGTTCAAATTCAAAATTAACATAGGTAGATTCCTGCTCCTCATCCTGTCATGTTGGGCCTGCACATTCTCTTAATAAATAATGTTTTGTGTCTTTTCCAACAGAGTGACCATTATGGTAGTACAGAAGTCGCCTGTATTGTTCTCTACTCTTTCCTGGAAAATTCCTCCGATGTTGCTTTTGCTTCCAAACTTTCTAGCTTGAAAAAACAATTGTTGGCACCAAAGCAGTCTTATACTGCATATGATGATGGGGAGCTTCAGACAGATGGCAATAGTTTTGGGCGAGTAGAAGAAAGAGCATTGGGTGAGCAAAGTTCTTTATATCCTACTTTTCAGTTTGAATAATGAAGGAATTATTGTTAACACTGGATTGGCGACTTTGTTAGGCTCAACATATATCCTCGTTCAAACGATGAAATTCTGCCAAAATTATTAACACCTCATGAAATTTCAAGCTACATCCAAATGTTGAACTCTTAAAGTGGGCAGGGGTGGCATATTTTTAATCATATTTCTATAGAGCAGGCAGTGAACCAACTTCCCTTTTGAAGGGAAGTGAACCAACCTCGTCCTATAGATACTAGGTCAGTGATGGCGAACCTTTTAGAGACCGAGTGCCCAAACTGCAACCCAAAACCCACTTATGTGTTGTCGGGTGCTGGGTGGGTGTGGCCCATTGGGTGGGCATGACTGTGGTGGTAGCGGCAGACTGGGTGGGACTAAAAGTTCAATCAGTCAATTCCAACTTTGCAAGATCTTTTTTTTCCTGTGAGAAGTTGAAATTTATTGATTGAACTTTTTTTTTTTTTTGCACACGGTGGCAGAGGCCTAAAGTGAAAAGGTTTTATAAAACCCAGCTGAAGGCCTAGGACTGGGGTGATGGCAGGTGTGCCCACAGGGAGGGCTCTGCGTGCCACCTGTGGCACGCGTGCCATAGGTTCGCCACCACGGTACTAGGTTGTGAATTGTTAGAGCAGAAAGAAGCAAGTTTCCAGGAGAAGCAGCTCTGTGTGCATCCATTCATGTTCACACAAATTCTTTGCATTGCTAATTGTATGACTGTTGAGCTGGAACACTAATTAAGTACAATGCCCTTCTACCCCTTAATACAAGTAGTCCTTGGCATACAACCATTCATTTAGTGACTGTTTGAAGTTACAGTGGCACTGAAAAAAGTGGCTTACAATCAGTCCGCATATATACAAACATTATAGCATCTCCAGTCGTGGTAAAAACTTGAATCCTTGGCAACCAGCATGTATTTACAATGGTTGCAGCATCCCAGGGTCACGTGATCAATATCTGTGACCTTCCCAGCTGGCTTCTGAGAAGCAAAGTCAATGGGGGAAGCCTGACTTGCTGAATGACTGCATGATTTACTTAAACAACTGTAGTGATTCACGTAACAATTGTGGCAAAAAAGGTCATAAAACAGGCACAATTCATTTAATAACCAAGGAAATTCTGGTCCCAATTGTGATTGTAAGTCAAGGATTACCTGTATTACCTGTATATTTCTGCAGATGTCTTGAATTTCTTCTTCACTTAATTTATTCCTTCCAAAATAGTGACTTCCAAATGTGATGAACTAAATGCTTCTTTCCCTCTTATGGGTGGGAAGAGTCTACCACAACCAGAGGACACTATTTTTTGCAAGGGATGGCACTATAATTCCTTTGCCTCCTTCCAAAATGAATTGAAAAGTTATCTAATTAATCTAAGCATTCTCCAGTACAGGAGATGGATAATCCATGGATGGGTTTTCTCTGTCTGCCTGCTCTTGAGACCAAGTAGCCAAAGCTTGACACGCCCCCACTTCCTGTGGAGTCCATTTCTTAACTTGGTCTCTGCTCGGAGAAGACTCGTTTTGGCGTGGCTCTCAGCTTATCAGGTTAGACAAGAAATCCATTGATTGATTATCCCTTGATAATTGGCTTCCCCTTCCCAAAAAAATATTTTCCACCTATAGGAATTTAACCACAAAATTTTCTGGGGATCAGTCCTGATCTCAAACCTAAAATTAAAAGGGGATTGGTGGGGAGGGAAATTTCCCCACAGATATCAGCCAGCCCCAGGGCTCTGGGGGGTGAAAAGGGGGGGAAGAAGGCATCAGCAGAGACTACTTGCTGAACCTTTTCCCCAACCACTAAGTTTTCCTTGGGATCATCCCTGATCCTATATTAAAATTGAAAAAGGGGGTGTGGGGGGGGAAAACTCCCCACGGATCCCAGTCAGCCCCAGGGCTCTGGAGGTGGAAAAGGGGGGGAAAAAAAGGCATCAGCAGAGACCACTTGCTGAGCTTTTCTCCCCAACCTTCCAAGGGATTTTTTCCTCAAATTGGGGGAAAAAATAACAATCTCCAGGTCCGGATTCAAACTTGAATTCGGATCATCGGAGATTCCCTAGCAGCCCAGGGCAACCGCGGGCGCCATTTTAGTTGCCGTTTTCAGACAACAAAGGCAATCCCTGGCTGGGATTACCTTAAAACGTCACAGCGCGCCAAATTTAAATCCCCGGGCACAAGCAGCTTCTGGGAGGCTGCGGAGCTTATCTTCAGAGGGAAACGAAGCACAGGAAGGGAGTAAGCCAACCAAGAAACGGAGGCTAGAGAACCCTCCTGGGATCTGCAAAGCCCTTTTTCAGGGAGAAACGAGCTGTGGCTGCCATCTCTTGCCAGAGAAAGGCAAACCAAGCTTAAGGAAGCTCTACATCATATCTGGAATCACTGATAGAGGCGGAATAGGAGCACACAACCAGCGCTCCACCCCCGATACACACATATAATAATAGGACAAAATATAATAATAATAAAAATAGATACATAAATTTTAAAAATAATAATAATAATAATTTAAAAAAAAAAATTTTTTTTTAAAGCTAAAAATTAAGCGACTGCAGGGCCAACAGGCCTAAAGACAGAACACACAATATTATCATCATCACCATTATTGTTGTTGTTGTTATTATTATTATTATTTTACTATTATTGTTGTTCCTATTATTGGTGTAATAGTATTAATAAGAATAAATTCCGCTCTAGGTGACCGCCATTTGATACCTGCTGTGTATTAAGTCAGGCCTACAGACCCTTTTGAGGTCGCCACTGATATTTTTTGCCTCCCTTTTCCTTTTTCTACTGGTGCACGTTGCCTGGTCACCTAAGGCCTCCGGGCGGAACCCAAAGAGTGGTTCCAAACGTGCCTTCGGTACCTCCCTCAGCTACCGTGACCTTAGCCCAGAGAGAATATTTTTGTTGTGGTCGGGTGATCAGGGGAACAGTCCTGGTACTTGTTCCAATTTTGCTCCCGCCAATCCTTGCCTGCCTGAGCGTCTTCTCAGTTTTTCTGGGACTGCTCAAGCGGAATGGAGGGACCCTCGTTGCCTCAATCCATGAGCACGACCCCTCCACCTCCCAATTACGGCTGCAACACACCTTCTGACCAGAAGGCGGCAGGCAAGTGCAAAGCGAAGACAAAACACTCGCTCAAGAGGCCCTCCAAGTTGGCGGAAAAGCAAGCCAGCCGTAGGCACCAGGCCCTGGAGAAGGAGTTCTCCAGAGCGCAGAGGCAGGCCCAATTGGAATTGGTTCAAATAGCGGCCACCGAGATGGAATTACCATTGGGTCCATCCACATCAACCCAGAGCGCGTGGTCCATTCCAGGAACACCGCAACCACTGGACCCGCCATCTACATCAGCCCAACAAACAACCACGGCGGCAGGCACAACCACTGAGTCCAACTCTCCACCTGCGGTCACCACACCCAAAGGTAATGACATAGGGGACATCTGGGCAGATGGACGGCTAGAGGCCCTATTAACCAAAGTGGTGGACCGAGCCCTAGCACAGCGCTCCGCCCACCACGACCAGGGGCCCTCCATCTCAGCCATGCCACACTCGGAACTCCCCTCAGAGTCCTCAGGCATTCAGGAACCCGTCTCCCCGGCCCAGTCCTCCATGAGTGGTTATTCTTCACCACAAGAGGAGGATCAACCTGGGATCTCTATGTCAGAGGATGAGGAACTTCCCCCTGAGCCCCCCTCAGGGGGATTATTTAATCCCAACCGCTTCCTCACGATACTACGCAAGGCCACAGCCATTGCGGACATGGGGACGGATCAGTTTTCTCAGCCGCAAGCGACACCGGCCACCACATCCAGACCCGTATTCGTAGAAAAGGTGACAACGCAACACCATATACCTTGCCCCGCCATTTTCCTGAAAGGGATCAAGAAGCCATGGGACTCTCCCGCTTCCTTCCCATCAGTGAGTGGTACGGACAAAAAATTATACAGCACTGCCACAGACCTCAATGAGGCCTTAGAAATTCCTAAAGTAGATGAAGCCTGGACCCCCTTGGTCTCCCAGACAGCCATGGCTGGGGACCTAGTGGAGGCCCTTAAGGCAGATGACAAAAAGTGGGAACAAGCCTTTCGCAAAACCCACCAGACAGCGGCATGGGCCATCAAAGCAGCCACCTCGGCCTCCTTTTTTGTCCGGGCCACCCTCATCTGGTTGCAACAACTACAAACCATAGTTCCTATGGAGGACATACGAACACACCAGGACCTGGCTAAGATGGTAGCAGCCACGGAATACGCTGCAGACGCAACGTTCCAATCGGCCATTTTTTCATCCAGATCCATAGCATCCAACATAATTGCCAGGAGAATGCTATGGCTAAAACACTGGCAAGCTGACACCAAGGCTAAGTGGCGGCTAGCGACCGCCCCTTACTCAAGCAACGGTCTGTTTGGGGAGGCCTTGGACCCCTATCTTGTAGAGAACAAAGACAAGCGGAAGGTCATGGCACACTTGAACAAAAGGTCAGACAAACGTACCACACCTTACTTTCGTAGGCAGTCCTTTCGTCAACCGACAACCACGCCTATCAGTCAGGCACCCAAGCCATTCACTCCCAGGCAGAACAAACCGTACGGCCGCCCCTACGACAGACCGGGGTTCCAGCCCAGACAACAAAACCAGTCGAGACGACCCTTTCGTGGAACGGGTCGTCCGTACCGGAAGACAAAATGACTCCTACATAGACCTACCCATTGGAGGAAGACTAGCTCACTTCTTCCACCAGTGGGAGCAGACCTCCACGGACAACTGGGTACTACAAACCATCCAGTCCGGGCTGTCCCTGGAGTTCCTGGTCACACCCCCAGACCGACTCATCAACTGCTCGGTCTCCAGGAACCCCACCAAACGCAAACTCATGCAGGAGGCCATCCAACACCTGTTGGACATTCAAGCAATAGAACCGGTCCCAGCGGAATACAGAGGCAGAGGATTTTACTCCATCCTCTTTGTGGTTCCAAAGACTTCAGGAGGATGGAGGGCAATCCTGGACCTAAAAAACCTCAACCGCTACATCACATACAAAAAATTCAAGATGCAATCCCTTCAGTCCATCCTGGGAAGCATCAGAGAAGGAGACTTCCTGGCATCGATAGACCTCACGGAAGCCTACCTTCACATCCCCATCCACCCAAACCACCGCCGGTTCCTACGTTTCTGTTACGGGGGAAAACACTTCCAATACAGAGCTCTCCCCTTCGGTCTATCTTCGGCACCCAGGGTATTTACCAAGATACTAGCAGCGGTAGCCGCCAAACTGAGAAAAATCCCAATACGCGTCCAATGTTACCTAGACGACATACTAATCCAAGCAACATCCCTACAGACAGCTCAGGCGGACGTAAGGACCGTCATTCGCGTCCTCCAATTACACGGATTCTCAGTAAACTTTCAGAAGAGCCAGACAGTTCCATCGTCCAGGCTGCTGCATCTGGGGGCCATGATAGACACAACCAACTGTATGGTCTATCTCTCCTAAGACCGGGTGGCCGGCATCAGGGAACTGGCTCGCTGGGTTCACAGGCAACGTTCAGTTCCGATACTAACACTTTCCCAATTATTGGGCAAGATGGTATCGGCCATAGCCATTGTACCCTGGGCCAGGCTCCACCTACGGGAACTACAGTGGTTTCTGCTCCCGTACCAACGGCAGAACACCAGCGCATCCAACCACCTAGTCAGGGTCACGGCACAAATCCGCAGGGCGCTACGCTGGTGGTGCTCTCGGGCCGTGACCAAGGGGTCACCCTTCAAGGAACCAGTCAGAGTTACCATCACTACAGACGCCAGTCTGTATGGTTGGGGAGCCCATCTGGACTCCCGGTTTGTACAGGGACGTTGGTCCGCCACGGATCTGAGAAACAACATCAACTGGCTAGAACTCAGGGCTATCCACCTAGCCTTGCAACAATTCAAAGACAGAATCAGAGGCCACCACGTTCACGACTCCTATTCAGCTGGGTAGAGCCCAATCTGAAGTCACTAAAAGCGGAACACATATCGGGGGTCAACAACCAGCAAGCGGACTTCCTAAGCCGCACCACAGTGGACCCTTCGGAGTGGGGGCTACACCCGAACTTGTTCCTAGACATCTCCCGCAAGTTCGGGTACCCGATCCTCGATCTGTTCGCATCATCAGACAATGCCCAGCTCCCCAGATTTTACTCTCGTTACTTCAACCCGCGAGCAGAGGGGACGGACGCTCTGAGAACTCAGTGGCCTCAGGGTCTGCTTTATGCCTTTCCCCCACTACCACTCATACCGGCGGTCATCCGAAAGCTGATTCAGGAGCGGGCAGAAGTGATCCTAGTAGCACCATATTGGCCACAGAGACCGTGGTTCGCCGACCTGATGAACCTGTCTCAGTCGCCCCCATGGAACATTCCCCCTCATCAAGTGTCCCTACACCAGGGAACCATCAGTCACCCGGAACCCCAATGGTTACAACTGACCGCCTGGCACTTGAGCGCCAGATAATGGCACAGGAACTATTCTCTCCCGGGGCCATTACCATAATTCAAGCTTCACGCCGTCCGGCAACAAACCGCATTTATGACTCCACTTGGAAAAATTTTTGCCTTTGGTGCAGGGAACGGCAGTTTGACTTACACAAACTCTACATCCCTCAGATAGTAGATTACCTCTTGGAGGGACTAGACAGAGGCCTCGCCCCCGCGACCATCCGCAGGCAAGTGGCGGCCTTGTCCACCCTCCTCACCTGCACGGATTCGGTTCCCTTAGCTCACCACCCCAGGATCCGCGCCTTTATCAAGGGCGCCTATAACACCAGACCTCCAGTAATTCACAGGTACCCGTCCTGGGAACTACCGCGAGTCCTTCACGCACTCACTCGGTCACCATTTGAACCATTGGCGACCGTTTCCTTGCGACACCTGTCGCTAAAGGTGGCGTTCCTGATTGCCATCACATCGGCCAGACGAATTTCGGAACTGGCCGCACTGTCAGTCAGAAACGACCTATGCATTTTCCACAAGGACAGGGTGGTCCTTAGGTTAGATCCTTCCTTCATACCGAAGGTGAATTCACTCTTTCACAGGACACAGGAAGTAATTCTCCCAAACTTCTGTCCAAATCCAACACATGACCGGGAGCGGCAGTGGCATACATTGGACGTCCGCAGAGCCTTGCGGCGTTATATAAAGCGTACAGAACCCTTCCGCAAATCGGAGGCCCTATTTGTGTCCTTCCAAGCGGGCACCTTGGGGCGGAAAGTTTCCGCGGGCACCATTGGAAGGTGGATCCGAAGCTGTATCGCAGAAGCTTACAATGTATCATCCCTGCCGCCCCCAAGTCATCTCACAGCCCATTCCACCCGAAGCGCTGCAACTTCGGCGGCATGGGCTACCCAGGCGTCAATCGAGGAAGTTTGCAGGGCCGCGACATGGTCCTCGCCTTCCCCGTTTATACGACACTACAAGATAGACCGCTTTGCATCGGCGGATGCCTCCTTTGGTAGGAGGGTCCTCCAGCAAGTTGTCTCAGAGATCAATCTACCGGCCTTATCTGTTTCCCACCCCTTGGGACAGTGAGGCTTTGGTACGTCCCATCCATGGATTATCCATCTCCTGTACTGGAGAAGGGGCGTTGGTCTTACCTGAACGCCTTTTCTCAGTACGGAGATGGATAATCCACACCCACCCCAAGGCCAGCAGGCCGCTAGTAGGGAGCTGAGAGCCAATACCTCGTCAATCATCAGCCAATTCGCCCTCGTTAAGAATGGACTCCACAGGAAGTGGGGGCGTGTCAAGCTTTGGCTACTTGGTCTCAAGAGCAGGCAGACAGAGAAAACCCATCCATGGATTATCCATCTCCGTACTGAGAAAAGGCGTTCAGGTAAGACCAACACCCCTTCTCATTAGGTTGTCCTTCACTGCAATTTAATTCACTTGCTAACGTTGGAGGGTCTTTAGCTAATGCAAAGCATCATCACGCTTCCAATCTAACATCTGCTCTAAAGCTGGGATGGGCTTTAAAATACCTGTGTATTCTGACATAGAAATCATATGCAGGATCCAATTTTATCCTAAATCCAGTGTTCTAATGTTAGCTATGATCAAGGTTGCACAATGTTCTTGCATGCTTGAAAGTCAACTTTTTCGTCTTTTTCATTCATGGATTTAAATTCAGTGGCCGATGAGGAAATTTTCCGGAAAATAGGAGCACGGTTGGCTGTAATGGGCGATAAACTGGCTGCTGAGATTGAGCCCTCATTTGTGCACAACCTGGCACAACAATTCATGGTGGAAAATGTGCCCAGTCAGGTGAGAAAGAGTAGAAACCTAGTGGGTTTAATAAGATAGCACAGGAGGACTTTAATAAGAAAACAAATCTTGTACTTGGGTTTTTGAGGGTTCTTCTGTTTTTGTCAATCATGACTTCTTTTTCCAATTACCACATGCGTATCTAGTAAATGGCTTTAAGCGACTGGGACTTCTCAGTGTTCTGATCATCAATTTAGTTGAAAAATGAATTTGGAGGGCAGTTCTGTTGCTGAATACAGCTAAAAATAGACGTTGAATTTGGATGGTCTTTGAAGTATCTCCTTAGCTGACAAAAAATGGGATAGAAGACGCAAAGTCCAGTGAATCCAGTGAGAGCATGAGGATAAATGATTATCTCCATTTATACATGCTGGAATGGTGCAATTAATCATAATTAGTAACTGAACATTGTTACAGTTTGTACATAATTGAAACTGTAAAGATTCTTTCATAATTAACAGTCACCATTAATTTACATTTTATTTGTAATGTTTTTTAGTTGTAGTCTTGATCACAGTCAGGAGAAAAATCTAGCATCTGGCTGGATTAGAGTTCAAGGGGGCCAGAACAGCATTTTAGAGGTGTTTGTTCTTCTGTTTCTGTAGCGTATCCAGCATCTGTCTCTAGCAGTGCAGAACGTCATGGCAAGGATGCCTCGAGAATTGGAACTGGAAAAAGCCACGTTACTGGCTGCAATGGTTTTGGCCAAGAAAGTAGCCAATGTAGTCCCTGAGATCTTGCAGCAGGTGTTCAACACAACAGTGAACTACATTGACCAGAACCTCCACGATTATGTGAACAATTTGGGACCTGAGGTGATTATAGATAAAATCACAACATTGCATTCTAGTGAAGTTTATCTCCAAATCAGAGATGGTTGGTTGGTTGGGGAATTCTGAGCGTATAAGGCCACATGTCTTAAAAGCTGCCAAGTTTGAGAAATCCTGATTTAATACCTTTACAAGAGTGATTCTTATGCCTCTTTCAAGGAGGTTAAATTCGTAGAACCTAATGCTGAAAAGGTGGTATGAGAGGTTTCTTAGCTCCAGATGTTGGGGAAGCCTGGAAGCAGTAGCAGCCTGGGAATTTTGGCTTGATACACTTTTTCATGTAGTCCGCGACTTATCACAACTGAGCCCCAAATTTCCACTGCTAAGCAAGACAGTTAAGTGAATTTTGTGACCTCTTTTTGCATAGTTGTTAAGTGAATCTGGCTTCCCCATTGACTTTGTTGTCAGAAAGTCAGAAAAGGTGATCACATGATCCCAAGACACTGCAACCATCATAAATATAGGCCATTTGCCATTATGATCACCTGACCATGGGGATGTTGCAATGGTCATAAGTGTGAAAAATGGTCATAAGTCACTTTTTTCAGTGCTGTTAATGACTTTGAATAACCACTAAATGAATGATTGTAAGTCGAGGATTACCTGTACTATTCTGACTCCATGAGAGCGCTCTGAGGCCAGTAAATGTTCCCAAGATCTGCTAAAAACAGATCCAATACTGTTATATTTTTAAAAGGCCAATTCTGTAACTGTGAGTGATATCCTTAAATGACCTAGAACACGTCTTGAATTTGTCGAGAATTAACGTTTTATGTAAAACCTCTTCAGTACACTCTGATCTTAGTAATTAGATCAGGGAGTGAAGGTCAAAGGTCATCTGGATTAGACATGATTTATTCAATTAGCGCAACAATGAATTATACACTAACCACGTTAAACTAGGCTTGCACTATGTCCTAGGCTAAAATGTCTGTCTAACCACAAGAATCTACAATATATTGGAACTTACAGGGGGAAGAATGTGCAGTCTTGTACTGATTTTCAGCTCGTCTTGACACATTCTTGGCTAGTTACTTTAGAAAATATCTGAATCGTCATTTTCTTAATGTAACTAACAATTGTAATGGATGCAATTAATTCTCTCTGTTTCTTTCCTAGAACTGAACAAAAGGGATGCATATATCTACATGCAAGAATACATTTTGTTTTTGTTTTTTTAATTTTTACAATTTAAGAAAAATTGTGTCATCTTGATATTTTTAAGACGTTTTTGAGCTTTTTATCAATGTACTTCATTACTCTATTTAGTTGACTGAAGTATGAATTGGTAGTTCTCATTTTCTACTTGACATCTTAAGTCATTTTTTATGCCCCTTGCAGGAGAAAAGCAAAGTGGATTATTATTCTCAGGATTGTGGTGTTGATGGCATCTGTCCTTGAAGAGGAACAGAAGCTAATGACCACCTTACAATATCATTAGACAGTGTGTCCTTCCATTTGCTATCTGAGAATATACTTGATTTATAATTGTGATTTTTTTTTAAGAAAAGGCCATGCATGTTAATCTACTTCATTTATTTGCCAATTAAAAATTGCCATAATATAAAGTCAATTAAATAAGAGTATTGTTTTTCATATTTAATATGAAAAATGCATGAGCCTTGTTCTCAACTGAGACTGATTCTCTCCACTACAGATTTTATAGACGTATTAGAAAAGGGAATTGCCTATTTGCAAATGACCTTGTTGGATACCAGTACAGTAAAGATCAATTATAATATTTATGATTGGGTTTGGCCATTGCTGGAATACAGATTTTAATGGGGAGGGGGGAAGTGATAGCCATTGTACAATTTTTAAAGATTTGATGAAGGTCTCTGTTTTAAAGTTGGGAACTAAGTCAGAAGTCAAATTGTTTACAAAAACATTACATTTTATAAATTGACTTGAAAGGTTTATATGCTTGTCTATCTTTGATACTGTAATTTAGACTGTTAAGATATTTGAAAAGTAATCTGAAAAATTCTAGCTTGTAGGTATTGGCAAGAGGGATGGAATCTCAGTTTATTGGTTGAGATATTGGATCATTTGAATGGACTCAACTGTAAATATTTAAATAGATATGGCTGTCTCTTTGGGTGCTTTTGATTTTTCAGCTGTGCAGGCTTTCTGGCCTGAGTATGGATTACATCTGAGAAAAACCAACTTGTGGAAGGCTACTACATTATATAGCTATTCTTTTTCTACAGCTAATAAAATTTTAAAGTAGTATATGTTTTGCTCCAGCTATTAAAAGTCCACACACTTTTTCTTCAAAATTTAACTTTAATAAAATACAAATAAGGGCGTGGTTTTACTTGAGATTATCGTTCAAGCAAAAATACACATCATCTTTTATAAACAGTAGGAACACTTGTTTTTAACACTGGAGGCAGTATTTTTTAATTCATACAGTAGAAGCCTGTAACAGTAAGATGGAGATTTATGTCTGCCCTCACCATGTTTCTTAAAATAGCTCCAGGGAAATAATTATGGTCATACAGCTTAAGGAAATACCAGTTTGCCTCAACACGTCCAATGCTAGGAAGAAGAGCTGTGCATTCTCATGAAACTGTTAGCACAAAGTAAAAACAGTACTGTAGTTCAAGGAGAAATCACCAAATGGTTTTATTTTTTAAGTAGTGTGGGTTATTTTAGGGCTCTGAATTCTTGGGAAGGTTTTCAAGCCATAAATACAGTCAGCTCTTTTTTCCTGGATCAATATACAAACTAAGGTCAGACACGCAGCTTTCCAACCAGATTAAAAGTCACAATGTAGAAATGCTTCAGATATGCACAAGCAGGTTCTGAAGCATCTATTTTTTAAAATAATTGCCTAGCTCCAGTTTATTGTGCAAAACACTAAGCAAGCATGACACTTATATTGCTTTCAAGAACTCTTGCAGGACATCCACAGCAGATAGTTCTGGAACCAAAAGTATATCCACATGAAGGAAACAAATATTTCAGTAGACAGCAAAATTGTTTCTCTTGCATCTCAAGCACGTTTCCCCAATGGAAGCAGCAGGAAGGAGAAAGTAATGTAGCCTGTAGCATTTAGTCCAACAACATTGTAGAACTTCTGTTGCAGAACTACAGTCTATTTTGAAGTAACAGTTACATGACACATATTCAAATCCTATTGATATAAATTTACTTTAGCCTTCGTTTCACTAGTACTGTGAAGGATAGGGTGATGTTTTCTACAGAACTAATGACTGCAGTTCTGAAAAACCAAATACAAGTTTTCACATCTTAACCAAGGTCTAAACCATTATGAAGTACCAATATTCAAACTAGAGAATTTGCCCCAATTCAGAAATTTGATAATCTATAATCAAGTTGTAACATATCAGTATCTGAAAGGGTCAATTCATAATTCCACCTAATTCCAGTGCTTAGCACTCTAGCATTTTGCTGTCTATGAAAAGTATGTCATCTCACTGCTTATTGGTTGAGATGTTGGATCATTAGAATGAACATAGCTATAACTCTAAATAATCATCCTGGAAATGTAAGAGAAGTTATCTCAGCTGTTCAGTCTGTTACCTTCTGGTCAAATAGACACATGGCTGAAATTGGACAAAATGGATTGATAATTCAACCTTATACTGATTACAAGCAGTCCTCAATTTACGTCTACAATTGAGTCCAAAATTTCTGTTGCTAAATGAGATCTTTAAGTGAGTTTTGCCCTATTATGACCTTTCTTGCCACAGTTATTAAGTGAATCACTGTAGCTGTTAAATTAGTAGCACAGTTGTTAAGTGAATCTGGCTTCCCCATTGACTTTGCTTGTCAGAAGGTCACAAAAGGTGATCACATGAGCCCAGGACACTGCAACTGTCATAAATATGAGTCAGTTGCCAAGTGTCTGAAGTTTGATCATGTGACCATGGAAATGTTGCAACAGTCATAATGTGAAAAACGGTTTAAGTCACTTCAGTGCTCTTGTGACTTCGAACTCTTGTAAATGAACTGTAAGTTGAGTACTACCTTTATTTCCTCCACAATTTATTGTAGAAATCATCAAAGTTTATTTCAGGGATGAAATAAGCTGCAGCCAAAATCTAGTATAGCAATCTTTTAGCGACAATGCTTGTATCAGAACACACACTGGCAGCAATCATTCAATATTCACTTTGTCCAATATGAATGTCCCTCCCCCCATTAAAAAAGTAACGTGGTTACAGCACGAGTGTCAAACTCCATATGATGCAACTGGCCCTCGGGCCGCCAGTTTGACACCCAGGGTTACAGCTAAATTTTGGGGCAGAAGACAGGGAAAAACAGTTAAACCTCACTGGAACATACTGAGGCACTGAATTTTTTTCTGAAAAATGTGTAATAAATAGTACTATGGAAAAGTGCAAGTAAATTTAAACAAGACTTTAGGTATATTAAACCGAGTGTCCTACAATATGTGAATACAAAATTTATAGGTACCATATATGCCGGCGTATAAGACGACTTCCGGAAGCGCTAAACTCTGCGCCAAAGACGGGGGTCGTCTTATATGCCGAGTCATCTTATACGCCGGAAATACTGGTAGTTTCCGGCGTATAACAACGTTCTAGGAATGCGGCTCAGCGACAAAAGACGGGGGTCATCTTATACGCCGGGTCGCCCAATATGCCGGCATATAAGGCATAATCTGTCATACCTGCATACTGACTAGAGATGGGAGTAGCTAAAACACTCCAACTCTGTATTGTCAAATTTGATTTTTTTTACAGCAAGTTTAACGGGAAGGGAAAGAGGAAATTATAAGTTCATCTCCAAAAAATGTAAAAAGAGGCTACTGCCATTTCACTGTTCAAGTAAAAACCTGTGGTACTATGTCACTGATGACAATGTCATCATCTGAGCTTTCCAACACACACAAAATAACAATTTGACATAAGTGATCAATTTTATTTTTTTTCTGAGCCCAATTATAGCTGATGGAATAAAAAGGAATTGTCTACACATAGAAAGAAGTTACCTGAAAAGTTACATGAGCAAAATAAGACATAGTTTCAAATCATTTCTCCTCCAGTGGCCAGAACTCTGGAAATCGGAAGCAAATGCTATTTCATGCCGATGGAGATTCTCAATCATCCAGGTAACGGTTGTCTCAAAGGGGATTTTCCAAAAGGCAACTGCACGTCCTTGGTTTTCTTCCTTGAAAACGTTTCACTTCTCACCCAAAAACTGAAGAAGCTCCTTGAATGAGAAACGAAACATTTTCAAGGAAAAAAACCAAGAAAGTTCAGTTGTCTTTTGGAAATGACAAACGCTGCTATCTCAATTAACTTCTGAGTCATTACCTTGAGATTTTGAATTCATTACAATGCTAAAAGTAAAGTAAGACTAAATGTTCCAATCTTGCAACTGGATTAACAAATCAGATTTTAATCTAGAAGTAATCAGATTTTAATCTATTAAATACCAGAATTTCATAGGGCCATACTGCTTCAGGTTCAGGTACAAAAAGTGTTTCGGAAGATGCAGAAATGCATCATAGCACCTGTTTTCAACTTTCTAAAGCAGCTATCTTTTTCTGAGAAACAGAAAATATGGAGGGCAACCATCCTATCCTGGGGGAAACCATAATTGCCTTAAAGAGTTGCAGATAAGTCTATTTATACTTCATGCATTTTGAAACACATTTTTTGAATTAAATCCGTAGAAGTAGTCCTCAACTTACGATCACAACTGAGCCCAAAATTTATGTTGCTAAGCAAGACAGTTAAGTGAGTTTTATGACCTTTCTTGCCATAGTTGTTAAGTGAATCACTGCAGCTAAGTTAGTAAATTGCTAAGTGAATCTTGCTTTCCCATTGACTTTGCTTATCAGAAGGTCACAAAAAGGACACAGCAAACATCATAAATACATGCCAGCTGCTAAGTACTCAAATTTTGATCGCATGACCCTGGGGATACTGCAATGGTCATAAGTGTGAAAAAATGGTCATAAATCACTTTTTTCAGTAGAATCATAACTTTGAACAGTTACTAAATAAATGTTTGTCCAGATCTAGCGCTACCTATATAGTATTCAGCTCTTGTGCTTGTACATTTTGCTTATTGCATGGAAATATTTTCTTCCTTTGCATTCATCAAAATAGCGATAGGTACTCACACGAAAGGAGTGTGTATCTTTGATAACTGACACGAACGATAAAGCTGGATGAATGAGAGGTTAGGGAAAGGATACGGACAGAAACACAACAATACCAGATTACAAAAATGCCTAATGTAGTACAATGATGAAAAAACAACATTACCTTTCACCAAAATGCATTACGCTTTCATCTTTACATGGAAGGCTTTCATTTCATAGCTTTAGGGGTTTAATCATAAAATTTGGGAGCAATGCAGTACCTGAGGAAGTTGAGACAAAAGGGGAAGTAACCTCATGCTACATGATTAGAGAGCCTCTCATTCAAGAGATGGAGGTGAACAAAGAAGCTGCAATGGCAGCTACATAAAGGAATTCTCCAGGGTTAATGAACTTTTCCTGATCCAATTTCCCACGTATAAGCAAACCCCCCTCCCCCCACCAATATTTTCAGATATATCGAGATATTTAAATGTGCAAGGGAGTTCCAACATTACCCTACAATTAAAGAGGAAGATCCAGTTCCAGGCCACTAAAAACACGATTGTCCTAGAATTAGAAGTAAACTCATGCCCCCCACCTTCCTGTCACGTTACATGGATTTCTCATTAATAGGAGGCATAGCAAACCTTAGTCAACGCAACCAAGTGTGGGGATTCAGGCAGTATCGCTGAAGAGAAGAACTGACTACTTTTTCCTCAGTGTCAGCACTACACCTACTGCGACAGCCAGGATGGCTACGGCAGCCGCCCCACCGTACAGCAGAAGTGATTTGCCCTCTGGCAAAAGAATGGGCTTCTCCTCTCCCTCAGGAGACTTTTCCTCAGAATAGCTCTCTCTCGGTAGTTTTGCTTCTTCTTCTGGTAGTTGTATTTTCTCAGGACTGGGGGAAGCCTTTTCACTCGAAGGAGTTAGTTGTTTGGCAGACTTACTCAACATCAGAGGCTCAGGTTCAGGATATTCCACTACTCTCCCCTCTTTGTCACCCTCAGTGGGCAAAGGTGCAGAAGGGCTTAGTCTTTTAATCAACGAGCTTTCAGCCTCTGTTTTCAGCAACGCAGCTGGGACTTCTGGCAAGCTCAATTTTTTAGCACTTGTTTGCAGGCCCACTTCTGACACTGCTGCTTCCTCGACACTCTCTTGTATCTCTTCCTTTTCAACATGTACAATATCTGAATTCGAAGAGTTGTTTTCACTCCTTTCTTCTCCAC